GGGGCCTCTGGGCCTTAGGGTTCCCACCCCTTGACTAGACAAAAGAAGCTGACACCCTGGAGCCATTTCCCCCACATTGTGTCCCCTGAGTTGTGTTTGTTTTATGGCCGCAGCACCTGGCCCGGCCTGGCTCCAGGCCCCCAGGCAGGATTGTTACCCCTTCCACAGCTGGGGCATTGAGAGCGGCAGAGGCTGGTGCTGGAGGCAGGAGCTGGGCACAGTCCCCCCCCCAGAGCCCTGCCACCATGGGCCCCCCAGCTGCTGCTGACATATTCAATGACATTAGGGTGTAATGCAGCCCAGTGCAGTAACACCACCTCGGAACGGGGGCACATAACCCAGCCCTACAGGGGGACACGAGCCGGGAACGCAGCGACACTGGAAAGGGGCTAGTAGGGGACGTACTGGACAAGCAACTAACATGAGGTTTCCAGCGCAATGTGATCCCAGGGGAGTCGGGAGCTGCTATTACCTCAATGACATTAGGGTGTAATGCAGCCCAGTGCAGTAACACCACCTCGGAACGGGGGCACATAACCCAGCCCTACAGGGGGACACGAGCCGGGAACGCAGCGACACTGGAAAGGGGCTAGTAGGGGACGTACTGGACAAGCAACTAACATGAGGTTTCCAGCGCAATGTGATCCCAGGGGAGTCGGGAGCTGCTATTACCTCTGAGGAGCCCAACACTAGAGTGTAAGAACGGCCAGACCGGGTCAGACCAAAGGTCCATCCAGCCCAATGTCCTGTCGTCTGACATTGGCCAGTACCTGGTGCCCCGAAGGGTGTGACCAGAACAGGGAATCAAGCGATCTCCCCTGTTGCCCGTTCCCAGCCCCTGACAAACAGAGGCCAGGGACACCATTCCTGCCCATCCTGGCTAATAGTTATTGATGGATCTGTCCTCCATTAATTTATCTAGTTCTTTTTTGAACCCTGTTAAATTCCTAGCCATCACAATATCTTCTGGCAAGGAGTTCCACTGGTTGGCTCTATGCTGCATAAAGAAAAACTTTGTTTTAAACCTGATCCCTATTCATTTCATTTGGTGACCCCCTCTAGTTCTTATGTGATGGGAACAAGTCAATCACTTTTCCTTATTCACTTTCTCCTCACCAGTCATGATTGTATAGACCTCTATCCTATCCCCCCTTAGGCTCCTCTTTTCTAAGATGAACAAGCCCAGTCTTCCTATCAACGCCCCTAAAACGGCATCTTGTCCTGGTGTCCTCAGTTTAGACGAGCATGTGACAAACTGGAGTGGGTGCAGAAACGGGAGTCGATGCCCTGTGATGACATCATGCAGGAACTCAGGCTGTTCAGCGGCTCACAAGCTGTGCCATGGGTCCCCAAAGTGGGTTATGGCCCTGTTCCAATGTGGGGTCATCAGGCTGGATGAGACTTGCTGGGGCCCATGGCTGACCCCTGAGCCCCACTAACCGGGCCAGGGTCAAAGCCAGATTCCAAGGGTTTTAGCCCTGGGTGACAGGCTCTCTGCCTAGGGCTACAGCTTTGCCCTCCAGAGTGGCAGAGACTAAGTGGGGTCAGGCCCGCTCCTGGGCGCCTCTCCAGCTGGGATCCCCACCCTGCCACTGGCCTCTCTGCCACTAGCTCAGCCGGGGCTCCCTGGAATCTCAGTTTTCCATCCTGCAACCTCTGGACTGGGTCGCTCCAGCTGGCCCCACTGTTGCCAAGGCGCTCTGAGGTTCCTGAGCTCACCTGCCTTCTTGTTCTCTGGGGCTCCCCCACTTCCCTGTCCTGCTGGGACAGATCCCCTGGTCTCCCCCAGACAAGGCACCGAGTTGGGGTACCCACCCCCCTGCAGCGCAACGCAGACACTGAACTCAATTCAGCGCTAGGAGGATGCAGTTCTAGGACATCCAAGAAACCAACCCACAAAAGGGATCATCCCCCCCAAATAGACCTGTATTTCTGTGTGTAAAAGTTTTACACAGGGAATGCTCATGAGGCTGTTCGCCCGCTTGATCAATGAGAGTGACTATGCAAACTGATTGCTCCCCCCAGCTAATAATTATATACACCTGGCTTGAGAGTAAACAAGGGCAAACTGATTGCTCCCCCCCAGCTAACAATTATTTACACCTGGCTTGAGAGTAAACAAGAGTGTTTTTATTAAGCACATACAGCAGGAGTTAAGTGATGCAAGTGAAACCAGACAGAACAAAGTAAGTTACTAAATTAAAATGAAAACACATAGCTAGTTCTAAAACTTATTGCAAGCAGATTTCTACCCTAAAGAGCTGCTCTCGGCTAGTTCTAATTCACTAAAAACTTATTGCAAGCGGATTTCTACCCTAAAGAGCTGCTCTCATTTCAGGCATAGTCAGAGACAAAGCCTTCTACTCTGACTTGGGTCTTCAGCCCTCTGCGTGTATCCTTTTGGAGTGTGTCAGGTAAGCAGAAGACAAAGGGATGATAGCTGCCCATTGCTTAAATAGACTTTACCCCAGGTCAGGAATCTTTTGTTTTACATCCCCCTTCCATGGAAAAATACCAGGGTCAAGTGGTGTGGTCACATGTCTTAATAATCCAATCACCTTTGGACTCACAGAACAAACGTGCCTGTTTACAAATTGTTAAGTTTACTACCGAGGTGTTAAGGCTTTGCGCGGGGAGGGGGGTGTAGGGGAGGATGCCTCCAGTAATGATTCCCTTTAGCACATTTAAAACTATACACAGTCTCATACTTCATATTTCTAACTTCTCACACAAGACTGATACATGCACCAAAATAGGATCTCCAGCTCCAGCCGAGTCTAATATTATAATTGATTGGTTACATGAGGTATTCAGTCCAAAGCATCACCCAGTTATGCGTATTTGTAGTCGTAAGCCAATTGCCATGAAGCTGGATTCAGAGCAGGAAAAAGGCACATTCTACCAGAGAGGGTGACTAGGTGGGAAGGAGCTGTGAGATGAGGGAGGAGAACAGAGACTTGGGGGGGAATGTGCAGGATGGGAGCATTGCCATGGACGGGTATAAGCTGCTCAAGGCAGACCAGGAGGGGGAGAAAAGGTAGAGGAGTTGCACTTTATGCAGGAGAGCATTAGGATCGCTCAGGAGAAAAGCCCATTGAGAGTCAGTGGGTTCAAATTACAGATGAGAGTAATGAGGGTGATGTCATGGTGGGCGTCTGCTATCAGTCGTACCATCCGTAGGATGAATCGGAGCAGCCACCCCAGCTCCATGATGTTGGGGGTCCCGCGGTGGCTGCCCCAACCACCCTATGGATAGGAGTGACTGAGGGGGCTATAGGGCCCTCCATAATCCCCCAGGCTGCATTGCTCAGGGGAGGGGTTTGGGGAAGGCTGGGGGCGGAGCAGGGGTGGGGCTTGGAGAAGGGATGTAGCAGGGGCAGGGCCTGTGGAGAGGTTGCCCTGGGGTGCAGTTCTAGGACATCCAAGAAACCAACCCACAAAAGGGATCATCCCCCCCAAATAGACCTGTATTTCTGTGTGTAAAAGTTTTACACAGGGAATGCTCATGAGGCTGTTCGCCCGCTTGATCAATGAGAGTGACTATGCAAACTGATTGCTCCCCCCAGCTAATAATTATATACACCTGGCTTGAGAGTAAACAAGGGTGTTTTTATTAAGCACATACAGCAGGAGTTAAGTGATGCAAGTGAAACCAGACAGAACAAAGTAAGTTACTAAATTAAAATGAAAACACATAGCTAGTTCTAAAACTTATTGCAAGCAGATTTCTACCCTAAAGAGCTGCTCTCGTTTCAGGCATAGTCAGAGACAAAGCCTTCTACTCTGACTTGGGTCTTCAGCCCTCTGCGTGTATCCTTTTGGAGTGTGTCAGGTAAGCAGAAGACAAAGGGATGATAGCTGCCCATTGCTTAAATAGACTTTACCCCAGGTCAGGAATCTTTTGTTTTACATCCCCCTTCCATGGAAAAATACCAGGGTCAAGTGGTGTGGTCACATGTCTTAATAATCCAATCACCTTTGGACTCACAGAACAAACGTGCCTGTTTACAAATTGTTAAGTTTACTACCGAGGTGTTAAGGCTTTGCGCGGGGAGGGGGGTGTAGGGGAGGATGCCTCCAGTAATGATTCCCTTTAGCACATTTAAAACTATACACAGTCTCATACTTCATATTTCTAACTTCTCACACAAGACTGATACATGCACCAAAATAGGATCTCCAGCTCCAGCCGCGTCTAATATTATAATTGATTGGTTTTCCAGTCCAAAGCATCACCCAGTTATGCGTATTTGTAGTCGTAAGCCAATTGCCATGAAGCTGGATTCAGAGCAGGAAAAAGGCACATTCTACCAGAGAGGGTGACTAGGTGGGAAGGAGCTGTGAGATGAGGGAGGAGAACAGAGACTTGGGGGGGAATGTGCAGGACGGGAGCATTGCCATGGACGGGTATAAGCTGCTCAAGGCAGACCAGGAGGGGGAGAAAAGGTAGAGGAGTTGCACTGTATGCAGGAGAGCATTAGGATCACTCAGGAGAGAAGCCCATTGAGAGTCAGTGGGTTCAAATTACAGATGAGAGTAATGAGGGTGATGTCATGGTGGGCGTCTGCTATCAGTCGTACCATCCGTAGGATGAATCGGAGCAGCCACCCCAGCTCCATGATGTTGGGGGTCCCGTGGTGGCTGCCCCAACCACCCTATGGATAGGAGTGACTGAGGGGGCTATAGGGCCCTCCATAATCCCCCAGGCTGCATTGCTCAGGGGAGGGGTTTGGGGAAGGCTGGGGGCGGAGCGGAAGAGTTGTACCAGGCCCTGCACCCCCTTCAGGATGGCCCTGTCTGCTATAGACAGGGAAGTGATTATTCCCCTTTATTCGGCTCCGGTGAGGCCACATCTGGAGCATTGTGTCCAGTTCTGGGGCCCCCACTACAGAAAGGATGTGGACACAATGAAGAGGGTCCAGCGGAGAGCAGCCAAAATGATTAAGGGTCTGGATCTCATGCCTTACGAGGAGAGGCTGAGGGATTTGGGCTTGTTTGGTCTGCAGAAGTGAAGACTGAGGGGGGATTCGATAGTAACGTTTAACTCCCTGAAGGGGGATTACATAGAGGATGGAGAGAGGCTGTTCTCAGTAGTGACGGATGGCAGAACAAGGAGCAATGGTCTCAAGTTGCAGTGGGGGAGGTCTAGGTTGGAGATTAGGAAAAACTATGGGTGGCGAAACACTCCATCCCTGGAGGTGTTTAAGTCCTGGCTTGACAAAGCCCCGGCTGGGATGACTGAGTTGGGGCTGGTCCTCCTTTGGGTGGGGGTTGGATCAGTTGGCCTCCTGAGGTCTCTTCCAGCCCTAATCTTCTTTTCAGTCACCACTGGAACGAACTCCCAAGCAAAGTGCCCATTCTCCATCTCTTGATGTCTTCACATCCAGGCTGGTGCCTTTCTGGAAGGGATGCTTCAGCCAAACCCAAAGCTCCTGGGCGTGATACGGATAACAGGGAGAAACGTAAAGGCCTGTTTAGACAGGTCAGAGTAAAGGGCCTAATGCTCCCTTCCGCCCTACACTCTCTGACTCAATGATCCATCTCTTGGACGGACCGAATCCCAAGTCAGCCTCTCCCGCTCGACTGGCAGCCCCAGCGGAAGGAAAAGACAATAGAAAATCCCCACCTGAAGGTCACAGGTGACTGAAGCTGTCTCATGGCCCAGCCAGCTGCACGGGAAGGCCCAACTGCTCCCTCTATATCATCTCAGGAAACTAACATTTTAGGGCCTGGGCTTGAGGAAGAGATTTGGGGCAGGTAGCTGAGCAGGAAACAGCGGATAAGAGACAGACTCGGGTTTCCATTTAATAACGATACTTTACAAAGGTGCACGTGACACACATCCAGCATCAGCGGAGCAGGACGAAGCAGAGCGTCGGCAGATACTAGAAGAGCATCGGCGGCGTCTATGCAAAACAGAAACCCTAGAGGAAGGGTACGTTCGGGCTGAGCAGAGAAATCAGGGTTTGGAGCAGGTAATGTGTCTGGCGGCTCTTGACTGCCCTACAAGCAGGCACCAACCATACTACAATGGGGGTAGTTTACACAGCACCTCATTTCGGTGTCATCCCTGTTCCCTGTGCTCATAACAGTCCAGATCTCAACAATGATGCAGGCTGGGGTATTCCAAGGTGCAAGAGGCTTTTCAATAGAACGTTCTCTATAAAGCGTCCTGTATTTAACATACTTTGCAACTACACACGTGGCATAAACAACAGAGACAGCGGGGAGCGCCCACACACCCAGACTCCCAGGGAGCAGCCGCTCCAGCTTTGGTCTCTGGGATTCTGCAGGTGCATCCCCTGAGCTGACCCAGGGGTGCAAAACCACAGCAGCATCAGGCTCCCTGTCCTGGGGCAAAGATGCCAATTAATGGGCCAGGCATGATATGAGGAGCAGGGTGACGATGGCTGGTGGGTGGGGTGATCGAAGGGGAACGTAACCCACCTCAAGGCACTTTGCTCCCACCTGGAGAATGGGGGAATCCCCAGGCCCTGGCTCCAGCATCTTCTCACTTCGGCTTCGACGCCAAGGCAAACTGGAGCTGGGGGTGATTTGGGGCCCAAAGTTTCCATCACTGGAGATTCATTTGCCTGAGGATGGAGCTCAGAGCCACATGCCACGGGCAGGCTGGGGGGCAGCACAGGGAGCCAGCAACATGGGGTGGGGGAGAACCTATTTACACAGGAAAGCAGGAGTGAGAAACCTTCTTTGCTAAAGGCATCAGCACTGATGGATCTGCCCATGTCGGGAATCAGTGCTGGGGAGAAGCCGAGCTGAATAGCCCCTTTGTACCCTCCCAGCAGGGACAGGAAGAGCAAGCTAAACCCAGACCAAGCCCCCAGTTTCATAGCTCCAGATGAAGTCTACAGGGCTTCCCTGTGGTTTGGGGCGTTCAGATCTGCAGGGCTTCCTATGTGCCTCCTTTCTCTGTGGACTGTGTGCCAGGGGATCAGTTTGGTGGTATCCACTCGTGCTGTACACACCAGGCAAGCTGGGAACAGGGCTCCGCTCTCCGCCTCCACTCATCCTTCCCGGCCAATGACCACGTGAACCAAGTACGGAACCAGCTCTCTGCTGAGCCCCAAAGACCCGTCTCTTTATCTTACTGCTGTCCTGTGCCCTGGCTGTACCGTGGTAAAAACGACAGTCAGATCTCATCCTACAGGGATTCAGCCGCTCCTCCGCAGGGGCCAGAGATGAATTTTTCCCCCGATGCACCAGTGGCCAGATGTATCTGGGTTTCTTGTTCATCTTCCCTGAAACCACAAGTCCCAGGACAGGGGAAGTGAGCCAGTGCTCTGAGGCAGCCAGATTCTCTCTCTAGATGCCTGGCTGGTGGCCTCGCTCGCATGCCCAGGATCAGACTGATATTCGGATGTGAGGTCAGGGAAGGACAGTCCCCTGGTGCAGAGACTTGGGGGGGTTTCACATTCCTTGGTGGCCCAGGGGATGGATCTTCCGCTGGGATCATCTCTCACCACCCATTGCAGGGGGTCCCTCGGTTTCTCCTGCTGCCTACTCGGACTCACAAGAATTTAGCCTCTTACGAGCTAAAAGTTTAAAGTAACCAGCCTTGATATAGTGACATTTGAGTGAGATTCACGATACAGGGGCTCAGACAATCTAACTCTTCCCTATTCTCTGTGCAGTGATGGTTGTTCCCTGGGTCTAAGTGCATTAGGCACCCAGATCCCATTGGCTCTTGGGAGGCAGGGAGCCTCTGTTGTGTTTGTGCTGCACTGAGCACAGAGACTTCCTGTCCGTGATTCAGGTGGCTGCACACTGCCACATCACAAAGAATAAGTAATACTCAGGGAATTTGAGCAGTTAATTCCTTACTGCTCTAATGAGACACACAACCCACGCCCCAAGCTCCCTGTGGCCCAGTCTTACAGGTCTCAAGATGTAGCTCCATTCTGCACCACAACGCCTAGCTGACTTAGGAACCTGGGTCTCATTGTAAGACAATGGGGATTTGCTATTGAATCACGCTGGGGCTTGTGAAAAACTTGGTTCCTGGGCTCTTAGCTCCCCGCTGCCCAGAACCAACGAGATCATTTCAGTATGTCTGGCTGGGGTAGGGCCACAAGGGCAGGAAGGACACGGGGTTCTCCCCAGAGTGGGTTCTCTCGTGTCTCTTGTGGTGGGAGCTGCGACTGAAGCTTTTCCCACAATAAGCACATGCATAGGGCTTCTCGCCTGTGTGGATCCGGTAATGCTGGGTGAGGGTGGATTTGTCAGTGAAGCTTTTCCCGCAGTCAGAGCACGTGTAGGGTTTCTCTCCCGTGTGGATCCTCTGGTGTCTGATCAGGTTGGAGCTGACGTTGAATCTTTTCCCGCAGTCGGGACACTCGTAGGGTTTCTCGCCCGTGTGGATCCGCATGTGTTTGACCAGGTCCGAGTTCTGGGTAAAGCTCTGCCAGCACTCGGCGCATGTGTTGGGGATCTCGATGGTCAGGTGTTTTTTCTTAGATACTTTAGTTTCTTTCACCTTCCCAACAGTGGCACTTTCCTGGTGGGTGCTTTTGTCCTGCCTCTTTGCCGGAGGGCTCCTCAGATGTTTCTTGTGCTGGGAGCTGCGGCTGAAGGTTTTCCCACAGTCGATGCATTTGTAGGGCTTCTCACCTGTGTGGATGCGCTGGTGCTGAGTCAGGGTCGACTTGTCTGTGAAGTTTTTCCCGCAGTCGGAGCAGTTGTAGGGTTTCTCCCCTGTGTGGGTTTTCTGGTGTCGACTCAGGTTGGAGCTGACACTGAAGTTTTTCCCGCAGTCGATGCATTTATAGGGCTTCTCCCCCGTGTGGGTTCTCTGATGGTTCAGAAGGTCTGAACTCTGGGTGAAGCTTTTCCCACACTCGATGCAGATGTTCAGCTTCTCTCCTGCATATGTTTTCTGGTGGATGACAGTGTCTTTGCTCTTCCTCACGCCTCTCCCTCGGATGGCAGATTTACCCAGATTGCTCTTCTGTAGCTTGTCTGACTTCTTCTGATTCTTGAGGGACTTCTTCTGGCTCAGCCCCTGTGAAACGTTTCCTTTGGTTCGCTTCGGAGGCATCTTGTCCTCAGCTGCTTTTTACCAGCACATGTGGATGAAGAGGTTTCCTGCTTGCTCTTGCTCACTGTGCTATCCCCTGCTGGAACAGAAAGAGAGAGTCATTCCCTGTGCCGGGGGAAAGGGTACCACAGAGCGGGAAAGGCAAAAGCAGCACCACCACACAAGAATTTGTGGATAGATAATGTTAGACTTAGTTATGGGGCAGCTTTGGCCCCGCTCACCAAGACTCAAACCGCTGCCAAATTCTTAGCCTGCCTCTGAAGTCACAGTGTCTGATACAAACACTGCCAAAGAGCAGGCTCCATGGAGTCCGGAGAGGAGCAGGCTATTAGGAAAAACTATTTCCCTAGGAGGGTGGTGAAGCACTGGGCTGGGTTCCCTGGGGAGGGGGTGGAATCAGTCCCGGCTTGACAAAGCCCTGGCTGGGATGATGGAGTTGGGGCTGGTCCTGCTTTGGGCAGGGGGCTGGACTGGATGACTCCTGAGGTCTCTGCCAGGGTTCTATGGTCTATGAGCCACTTTGGGGGCGCTTCCTATCTTGACCCTGTCCCTACATCCCCCCAGCAGCGCGGGACCAGGCAGGGCCTGCCTTTTCCTCTCCCCGCTCCTCCCCTCGTCCCAGGACAGTCACTGCCCCGGGGGCTGCAGAGAATGGGGCTGGGTAGGGCCGGGAGCCGCCCCCCCGCTCCTCCCCTCGTCCCAGGACAGTCACTGCCCCGGGGGCTGCAGAGAATGGGGCTGGGTAGGGCCGGGAGCCGTCCCCCCCCTGCCCGGCTCCGCCCCCCC